TCTCATTTTTATTGTCTTTTGCAGAGTGGAAGTTGTTAATTGTAATGAAATCTGGGTTATCGATTATTTCTTTCATAGAAGTGTCTTTGGTGCTGTGTCTAAAAAGCCATTGCCTTGCCCAAAGTCAATTAGATTTTCTTCTACATTTTATCACAAGCATTTTATAGTTGAGTTTTACATTCAGCTATATGATCCATTTTGAGTTAATTTTTGTGAAGGGTGTCAGTTCTGTTGATATATACATATCATATATATCATAGACATATACATATATACGATGTCCAGTTCCATCACCATTTGCTGACGACTATCTTTGTTCTATTGTATTACCTTTCCTCCTTTGTTAATGATCAGTTGAATATATATATATATGAATTCATATAAGAATGAATATATATATGAATTCATATAAGAATGAATATATATATATATATACATACATATATACATATATACATACATATACATATATACACATATATGCACATGTGCATATACGTGTGTGTATATATATGAGATCTATTTCCCGGCTCTCTATTCTGTTCTATTGATCTATTTATCTATTCTTTTCATCAATACCACACTGTCCAGATTACTGGAGTTTCATAGTAAGTCTTAATGTCAGTGCCAAACATCTTCTGACTTTGGATCTTTTTTAAAGAATGATGATACTGGGTATTGGAGAAGATATTTCATGAGAGGAAATGATATATATTGATGGTGACACTACAAATTGTTAAAAGAGTTTTAAAAGCCATTTGGTAAATATCTAGTAAGGTTCATACTTTTTATTCCATATTATCAGGTTTTTATAGATCTAAAACTTTGACATACATGACAAGATAGATATTGAAGCCCATTATAGCAAAATAATTGTACATGGAGCAAATGCCTGCTAATGTGGAAATAAATTAGGCATAGGATAGTTATAAATTATTAAAATGAATTTTAGCTAAATACATTAATATACATAAATATTAAAAACAAAAATGTTTGAAAAATGAAGTTGTACTTCAAAATGAAGGATACTGGGGTTGCGTGGGTGGCTCAGTCAATTAGTGTCTGACTCTTGATTTCAGCTCGGGTCGTGATCTCCCAGTTCCTGAGCTCAAGAACCACATTGGGGTCCGTGCTGACCTCAGGTAGCCTGCTTGGAATACTCTCTCTCCTTCTTTCTCTGCCCTTCCCCTACTCTCTCTCTCAATCAATAAATAAACATTTTTTTAAATGAAAGACAATTACATAGTAAATATTGTAAAATATTAAAAATAATAAACTATACTATATTATAACAAACACATGGTAATTTTCTACAAAAATATCTTAAAAACATTAACAGCATACCTCCTCCAATATCCTGTCATATTGGGGTTGAGTATCTAGTGTCTTCACCTCAGAAAAATTGGTCTTCACATAACTTAATATTTCTTTCATGATGCTTCCGCATCCTGGCCTACCTCCTTTAAAATTTATTCCCTTCCTATAACAAATTCCACACATTTGAAAAAAAAATCAAATGAAGTCTCTTCTATGAAACCTTTGTTCATCTAAACTCTAACACTTATCTCTAGTATAATCACTAAACGTCTAAAAATACCTATATTTTATCACTTAGAAACATACTATATTCTATATCACAGTGCTTGCTATCTAATTGTTTTATAAGCTATTTGAATGTTTATGCAGCCAGTGAGCATTTTCATTTTAGAACATATAAACACAGAAAAGAGAACCTACCAGATCCATCAAATTCACAAAGAGGTGACTATTGGTAGTCAGTCTCGAGTGCCTATTGCATGTGAAGTTCTTAGAGCTAATCATTTTATGTTTTTGAGTAAAATCTTGTGACCTTCTATTTGAATTTTGAGTTATCTCTCAAAAGAAAGATAACATGAAAAGCTACCTTTGGACTCCTATAAGTGTTTAGTTTTTTGGAATCTGAAAAACAATTTTAAGTAGCAGTTATCTCTAAAAAGAAAAAGACATAAGAATCCCCACATAAGAGGAGGTAAATGGTAGTCTAATTTTCACAGAAGTTGAAAATGTATTTCAGAAACAACAAAATGGTAAACTTTTCTCATTAGGCCCAAGTTTATAAATTAAGGATAGAAGTTAGTCATTGCTACAGAGTGGAATAGGTAAGCATATCAAGAAAATATTCTCCCAAAATATTTCATTTATTTGTTGATAGGAAATAGTTTCTTTATGAAGTATTTTTATAGATCCCAGGAATGCAAAAATATTGCCTATACCTAAACTTTATTTTTACTTTATGGCATTTATTAAGTGACAGCCTAAGTAACTCTCCATTGTTTATATTTATCTCTATGAAATCTTTTGTCTTGGTATATTGCATAATGTTTAAGTGTCTTGCACAAAATAGGTGTACAAATAAGAAAAATGAGCAAATGAATAAATCAAAATAAAAGTCAGTGAATGAATAAAATGCCTAGTAGCCTATTATTTTGAGAAACTCACATAGATTCAAGGACTCTAGATTTCAGTAAATAAGCTGACTGTATTTTTCAAAATATTTTTGTTGAAAAGATAAGAGCATTTCTTCTCAAACTTTACAATTTATCTGGGAATTTTGTTAAAATGCAGATTTTGATTCAGGAAGTTTAAATGCGGCCTGAGATTCTGCCTTTTTAAAAAAAAATTAAATATTTATCTTTGATAGAGAGAGACACACACACAGAGTGTGCACAGAGGAGGGGCAAGAAGAAAGGGAGACACATAATCTGAAGCAGGCTCCAGGCTCTGAGCCCCATGCGGGATTTGAACTCACGAACTGTGAGATCATGACATGAGCTGAAGCCAGAAGCCCAACTGACTGAGCCACCCAGGTGTCCCAGAGAGATTCTAATAAATGTGCTGTTGATCTTATAAGCAAGATTGAAGACCCATAAGACCCTCTTTTCTGACTATGACCCCTTGGGACTTAGTAGATCATACAGTTTAAGAATTAAAACTCAAACTTAATGTCAGGCAAACTTAGGTTAGATTCCCATCTCTAAATCTGGTGGGAAACTTACTTGTCTGCATTACTGTATCTGAAATATACATACAATGAAAATGCCTACTTATACAGTATATGTAAGAAATAAATGAGAAAAAAACTGTATATAGAATATTAAGATTTGTGACTTGCTTATGATGCTAAAAGTAACATAATTAATATAAATTTGATAGTAATCTTAGTGATGAAAGAGATGGGAGGAGTGGTAGTGGTATTGATTAGTATAAAGTAGAAAATGCAAAGCAAATGTATCTTAAGGACAGTTTATTGACCTTATGGTAACTAAGAGTATCTTTTAACTTTCTATCCAGTGCCTCAGTACAGCTCAGATGAATATGTTCTATAACATTCTATATAAGGTTGGCAGCTCTCTCATACTCATAAACACAATTCCAAATTGTCTCCTATGATTTTTCTCTCCCACCATCACCAAAACAAGTAAGAATACTTAATAAAGGTTAATGGAAGCACTTGCACTTTTATGGCATTTCCCCTGAAGAAAAGCTTCCTGAAATCAATACTGGAGATGAGTAAAACTTAGAAATGTGTTGAAAGTAGTTTCCTTCAAATTTCTTTAGTTACATTTAAAACAAAAGGCAGAAAAATGACAGTTTAAAAATTCCTCAAATCCTCATGCTGGCTGCTAATCACTCACCTCCAACCCTCCTTCAGGTTATGGGAGCTTCATGGCAGATAAAGTAGTTCATTATTTTCTACTGCCAAATATCAAGTTTATGGAGATAATTGTTTTGGTCATATGTGACTCAAAGATCAATCTGTGATAACCAAAACAAGCTTTTAAATTCAGTAAAGAAAATAAAAGTCAATTTTAAAATGATTCAACTATTCAAAGCAAACAAAACCATTATTTCAGAGAGACATCTGCACTTCCATATTCATTGAACCATTATTTACAATAGCCAATGTGTGAAACAACCTAAATGTCTATCTACGGATAGATGAATAAAATGTCCTGTATATAATATGGAATATTATTTAGCCTTAAAAAGAGACGAAAATCCTGCCATATACAACAACATGGAATAGCCTGTAGAGCATAATGCTAAGTGAAATAAGCCAGACAGTGAAAGATGAGACAAATATTGAAAATGTATCACTTATATATGGAATCTAAAAAAAAAGGATTTTTAAGGCCTGAGAATCTAACATAAAACATGGTTATTTACACTGTATTGTACAGCTGAAATTTGCTAACAAAATAGAATTTAAATGTTCTCACCATAAAGATAAAATATATGAAGAGATGGTGTGTTGATTAACTCAGTGGCAGAATCTTTTCAAAATGTTTATATGCATGAAATCATCATGTTGTACACTTTAAATGTCTTATAATTTTGTTTGTCAATTATACTTCACTCAAAATTTTTATGCACTTAAAATAAATATATAAAATAACCCAAATATGTGGGCATTTATGTCTTCTATTTCATGAACTTTTCAATAGTCTAGCAGTTACAATGGAAGAAGAAATACTTCATTATTAAAAAACAGGGCATTTGATTGTAGATGAATCTTAAAATACCAATAGAGGGTTTTTAGTTGGTCAAATAACATTTCTAGTCCTGTTACATAATAGATATCATTTTGTCAATCCATGATCAAATCTTCCACAATTGAGAAAATAGTTTTTCCTGGCTACGCATCAAATCCATACAAGTAGAATTAGAAAGAGACTGTGCATATTTCCAACTACTCTCGTAACTAACAGACATAGGTCTTTAGTAAGGAATCTTTCTCTCTTAGCCCCCTTTTTCTTTAAGCAATCTTTCTCATACCCCATTTTTGCTTGATAGGGAATAAACCATAGAAACCCAAGAAGGGAGTAATAAGAAAGATCATGAAAAGTAATATGCTTCTAATTTCACAGGATGCACCCTATATTCCTCTGAGATATAAGACAAATATCATCAACAGGCATTTGTAAATTCTTAACTTTTAATTTGGCTTTCTAAGTTCATACCTTCAAGATAGCTAGGCTTCTGAATTTTGCCAAATTCTTGAAATTTCTCTTTAGTAGAGGGCTCCAAAAGGCTTCCTACCACTGAGCTGCTTGTTATCTCAAAAAAAAAAAAAAAAAAAAAAATTGTAAAGCTTCACAAGTACTCACTTGGCCTCTTTTGACAGAGAAAACCAAGGTTAATAATTTAAGCTTGAAAACATTGAAAGGTTAACGCATAAAGCCCAGAAAAGTCCTTACGACGTTTCACCTGAGTTCAGGACTTAAGTATATATGGCTTCAGTGATCCTTATAAGAAAAGGCAGAATGGCTTAGTGGACCAGAGTATGTGAATTGAAATCAGATGCCCGTGAAAGCCAACCTTGAACTTGCCACCTTGAAAAATCCTTTTAATCATTTTGTCCTTAGAGAATCATCACTTACCAGGTAGGGTGCACCACCTTACACAGATGCCAGAATAAAAATTTATAACTTATATTAAGCAGAAGTCACACTGTCATTAAACACATGATGACTCTATTATAACATATCCTGGGCTGAGATTGAGAAATGAGAGCAATTGGATTCAACATATTGTTTTAGTATGTAATACACTATAGCACATATGTAAAATCAACCAACTACACCTTCGTGCACAAAGCAAAAGCACATATTGCCATTTAGTCATCTTGCTAAAAATTGAAAATAAATGTCTTTGCAAATGTTAATGTTCTCATTCAAAATGTTCTTTTCTAAAATTGGAATCATTTTTCAGTGCTTTCGTTTTGCACATTTGTAGCATTATTTGGTAAATGGATAGCTCCAAGCAATTTATAATGAGGTTACATTAATTTGCTAAAATAAATTCAGAATCCTTAAATGTTGTATATTATTTGGCTTTATGTCATGCAAAACATGTCATAGAGCCATCATCATATGCTATTTTGAGATCCTGAAAGAAAGAAGTAAAGTTTATCACAGTTGTTTATCATTTAATCCATTTATTTATCCAACAAATAATTATTAAATACTTTGTATTTCCAAGTTCTTTGACAAGTGCCCTGCATGCATACAGTGTTAAAAAAATAAGTCCACGCAATGTATTCCCTCATGAAACTTACACTGTAGTGGGAAACACCAACTGAAAGTAAATAAATGAATACCAAGAACACAATTTTGTTTTGAAAAATCAGGTGTCCTAATGAAGCACGTTTTATAAGTTCAAATAAGAGAATTAAGCCACAGTCGGAGGATGTAGAATTTAAGTTGAGATCTGGACTTTGATGAAATTGTAGATAAGTAAAGGGCATTTCAGAGAACTGATAGCATGTGCGGATGCCTGGAGTCAGAAGTCCATAAATTCAAGGAATTGGGAGGAGGACAGTGTTACTGACACAGTGAGGTATCTAGAGATGAAGCTGGGAAGGTATTCAAACCGAGATCCTATATGGTCAGTTTTACTTCCTTAGAAGAAGTCATTGAATGGCATCGGATTTTGCTTTTAGGAGGGTGGTAAAATGATTAAGTGTCCAGTTGCAAAATGGCATTTTGAAATTTATTAATAATGACATACTCAAGGGCAAGAAAAAAGCAGGGACACAAAATAGGAGTCTATTGCAGTAAAAATGATACTGTCTTGAGTTAGTGGTGCCAACACTAACATGCAAACAACTACCTCAAGTCAAGAATTACAGAGAATTGAGAACAGACTGAGTGAGAACAGAGAATGAGGGAAGTGACAAGGATGATTTAAAAATATCTGTTTTGCGTATCTGCATCATAGAGGTGCCATTTAAAAAAAAGAAAAGCAAAGCAAGAAATAAGGAAAATCTGATAGAAAAGAGCAAAAGGTAAATTTTGGAACATAAAACTTTATCATCAGGAAGCGTTCTGCTGAATGTATCAGTTGGGTAGGTGCATACATAAATTTGCATCTTTTTAGCAGGTTCATGGCTAGAGATTAAAATGTGGGGTCATTTAAATCCATTAGCCATTAAGGACTGATGAGGGAGCAGTTTTCTTGTAGCAATTTGAGTAGAAACCAGATTGGAGTACATTTTGGAGTGAAAGGAAATTGAATTAAGTGAAAACAGTAGTTCTAAACAGCTTTTCTGAGAAACTTACATGAAGAAAAGCAGAAGGGTTTTATATTTTAGATGTAAGTTTTTGTCAGAGAGGAGTTTTTTACTTTTTCTAAAGTAGTTTTTATTTTTTTAATGTTTTATTTATTTCTGAGAGAGAGAAAGAGAGAGAGAGAGCAGGGTAGGTTCAGAGAGACAGGGAGATACAGAATCTGAAACAGGCTCCAGGCTCTGAGCTGGCAGTCAGCACATGTCCCGCCGCGGGGCTCGAACCCACGAACCGTGAGATCATGACCTGAGCAGAAGTTGGACACTTAACCAACTGAGCCACTCAGGTGCCCCAGAATTAGTTTTTAATATAGAAGGATAGCAGGACATATTTGAATGCCGGAATGATTTTTAACAGAAGAGAAACAGAAAACGCAGAGCAGAGAAGTAAATATTGAAAGAAACAAGTTTAAAACGAGGCATCAGGATCTTGAGCAATTGTGGGAGGACTGGATCTGTGGTGAGAGGAGGTGGCATAGTATATGGGAGGGAGGGATCAGTGATCTTTAAATAATACATTTTTAAATCCTGCCTATTACTACACTATTTCAGAGCATAGCTATGAAAATCTCCTGCCACAGTTTTACAGCAATTTGATGATATGCTATACTTTAAAGTTGGAGACCAATGTGTTGTTACTGAGCATGTATTTAAGTGCATATATGTATGTATACGTGCATATATGTATATGTATATACACACACACACACAAGGCACAACATATGGAGTGGCCATGAAAGCCTATACTTCTAAGAATTCCACTTCCCATGTTAAGTATCTGTATAATAATAAACCTGCACAAAAACTGCTGAAGATCACAGGGGAAAATTAAAATGTGTGGTGAGAAAAGAACAGAAACATGGATCTCCTAACATAGATACATTGTGCCTGTTTTATAGCAGACTAGGCTTCAGGCAGAATAATCATAGTTCCTTAACTGCTTTCTCTGGGTTTAATGCTTCTCATTTTATTTTAGGAAAATAGGTTGGTCTGGATTGAATTAATACAAAAGAATAATAAAAGTAAATGGGCATTTGCAGATGAAATCATGTCTAATGCATCTCATGTTCATAGCATGATTTTTGTCAAAATAAATGTGCGTGGGTATTACAGATGAACCACTGTTTCAACAAAGGAAACAACAATAGTACTTGTCAAACCAATTTTAGGATGCATAATTTCACTAATATGTGCTATAGAGTCTACAGGGAAGAAACTATTTTGTATAGAGTCTAGAGAAAAACAACGTTTTGTGGAGAAGATTAAAATTTTATGGCAGATAAGAATCATATGGAGAACTTTCAAAGACACAGATTTGGGGGCCCATGCCCAGAGATATGGATTTAGTAGGTCTGAAGTGGGTCCTGGAGATCTGTTTTGAAGGAATTTTTCCAAGCAGTCAGCTTGCAAAGTGACCATATATCACAATTTCTAAAATGGAAGTTAAAAGACATCAGAACTGCTCTTTTATACAAAATCTAACTTCTAGCAGTTAAGCAAAATAGGAAAAACAGGATGGAGAGTTGATCATACATGATTGAATTCACAGATTATTTTGAACTGAGATAACTGATCTCATCTTTTTGGGAGTAGAGACGATGGGGCAAAATAAACATTTGAACCCTGTCAACCTAAGATTATGTATTTGTTTGTTTATTTAGAGCATAACTGAACATGAGGCAGAGAGAGAGAGAGAGAGAGGGAGAGAAGTGGAAATGGGGCTCACATGAATTGAGGTGCTGTCTTACCTGATGTGGTAATCAAACTCATGAACCATTACATCATGACCGGAGCCAAAGTCACATGCTTAATGACTGAACTATCCAGATGCCCTCAATTAAGGAGTTAATTAATTGAAATATATATAGGAAAATTTTACGAAGAGAGAAATTTATAAAATTAAATTTGTGGCTTCATGTAATGGAATTTTCTACATTCTCCATTATAATTAGAAATTAAATATGGCCAATGAACTTCAAATTTGGTCTTCAAATTTATTGTTATTTAAAAAAATTTAATGTTTATTTATTTTTGAGAGAGAGAGACAGAGCATGAGCAGGGGAGGGGCATAGAGAGAGGGAGACACAGAATCTGAAGCAAGCTATAGGCTCTGAGCTGTCAGCACAGATCCCAGTGCGGGGTTCGAACCTATGAACAGTGCGATAATGACCTAAGCCAAAGTCGGGTGCTCAACCCACTGAGACACCCAAGTGTCACTAAAATTAAATTTTAAAAAGTATATTTCTATAATTTATTACAATTATATGTATATCATCAGAGAATAACAAGCTTAGTAACAATTACAGATAGGTACAAAAGTACTGTCATATTGAAACAATCACCTGAATATTTAAAATGCTGAAAGAAAGATTAAGGTTTACTGGGGTGCCTGGGTGGTTCAGTAAGTTAAGCCTCTGACTCTTGATTTCGGCTCAGGACATGTTCTCATGGGGTTGAGCCCTGCATTTGGATTCACTCAGGCAGTATAGAGCCTGCTTGGTATTCTCTCTCTCTCCCTCTCTCTGCCCCTCCCCAGCTTGCTCACTCTCTCTTTCAATGTCAATAAATAAGCTTAGAAAAGAAAAAAGAAAAAAGAAAAAAAAAAAAAGAAAAAGGAAGGTTACTGAATAATAGGTCCTAACAGCTAAACATTTTTGTACATGCAACTCTCCTAAACCAGGCTGGTCACAAACACCAAAACCACGCTATTCAAAGAACATGATATTCTTTCCTTTGTTGCAGATAGAACAATTAAATCAGAAAAAGTCTATATTCTACCAGCAATACCCGTGTCTTAATTATGCTTTCTATATAGTAAATATTAAAATTGGATGCAGTGACTCCTTCCACTTTATTTTTTATTTGTATTCCATTTTTTAATCAATTTTATTTTAGATAGAGAGCAGGTCAGGGGCAGAGAGAGAGGGAGACAAGAGAATCTCAAGCAGGCTCCATGCTCAGCATGAAGCCCAGTGCGGGGCTTGGACCCACAACCCTGGGATCGTGACCTAAGCCAAAATCAAGAGTTGGACACTCAACCAACTGAGCCACTGAGGTGCCCCTATTCTTTTTCAAATTGGTTTTATTTTCTAGGCCCCATGCCCTTGCGTATAAAAATAAGAATACACTTGTTTATGTCTATGGCCTGATCTTGACAGAAATTGTATCAAACCTATATCAATTTGGGGAGAATTGCCATATTTACCTTCTTGAGTCTTCTAATCCATTCATTTGGTAACAGTTCTCCTGTTTTTCGGTCCCGGGGCCTTGTCATTCACAGCAAAGCACCATATGTCATCAGTGGGTAAAGCTGCACAGGGTGTAGTTCATCAAATTGGAATAATTGTAACATTAGATACACTTCCCTTTTGTTTACTTTTACTCTACAAACTGATTATCTTATCTTCTGTTCAAAACCAGATAAGATAATAGACAAATAAATTGACCTACAATGTCTGTGTGTGAAATATTACTGGGCATATTAAATATTTTAAGGTGAATGGAGTTTATGTTGAAAGCATAAAAGTACCTGTTAATTGGGGCGCCTGGGTGGCTCAGTCGGTTGAGCGTCCAACTTCAGCTCAGGTCATGATCTCACAGTTTGTGGGTTTGAGCCCCGCGTCGGGCTCTGTGCTGACAGCTAGCTCAGACCCTGGAGCCTCCTTTGGATTCTGTGTCTCCCTCTCTCTCTCTGACCCTCCCCTGCTCATGATCTGTCTCTCTCTGTCTCTCAAAAATAAATAAATGTTTAAAAAAAATTTTAAAAAGTACCTATTAATTGTCCTTTGTAGATTAGGACAAACTGGAGAAATTGCCCTGTGGCGTCTAGGCCTTTGGGACGGCCCAGGTAGGCAGTTGGTGAAGAACGTGAAGTAGCTCCCAATCAACTCATTTACTTCATGAAACTGTGGGGCTTCTCATTTGCCTTCAGCATTATTGGTTCCCTTTCCTCCCTGAGCTATTTTACTGTCATTTGAAATTAAACACAAGGGTGTGTCTTCTGGAAAGGGCAGAGTGAGAAAGGATAAGTGACCCAAAGTGATTCATACCAGACTTGGAACCTCTCCCAATATGGTCTGTTCACCAGTTTCCCAGATTGGGACGGGGCTCTGAAAGTGTATTTTCACATCCTGTTCCTCATTTACCTTCTGACCATGGAGAGAGAAACTTCTCAATTGGGCTGTGCATTAGATGAGGTGCGATTTACAAACAGATTTGACAGCATCCATCCCTGCGCCCCGACCCCACTGTGAAAGACAACAGAATAAAAAGCCCTTCGCCCCAGGCACCATTTAGAAAATCCCACTGGTGATTCTGACACAAAGCCTAGGTGCAGAACACTGGTGTGGAGACTAAGGTAGGTAATGCCAGTTATTAAACCCAACAGATGCAGAGGGCTTAATGGAAAAGCCATTGTAACTTCCTACTGATCTCTGCCTTTTCTATTAGCTTCAGTCAGATTTTCATGGGAATTCATGTTTGTGACTGAATGGTGAATTTATCTGGTCACAGGTGGAAACCAGTGGTCTCATGGCCTCGTGATTTAGAAAGCAGTAGGAGAGGAAAACATTGCTAAGGTGGGATAAAAGGGAATTTTGTTCTGGTGGAAAACTGTAAACCTTTCTGTAAGGTTAAGCTCTACACCACCTCCAGCCAATTAGTGAGAACAACATCGATAGGGCAGCCTTGCAAAAATGGTCATAAGCCTCCCGTGCTAAACAACACAAAATTCTGAAATTTATGGGCAAATTATGTAGTGTTAAGGTGCACAGTCAAATGCAGTCAATTAATGTTATCATTATAAATCAAGATTACAGCTTGCCATGTAAATAATAATTCATAGTAAGCATAAATAACAGCGCAAGTGACTCAATTTAGCAAATCACACAGGCTGCTGTGCATGGTCAGTGTACCGAACTGTTGAAGAGAAAATGAGCCAATTTAGTGCTGGCAGAGAGATTGCTGGAATGCTAATTCAATATTAAACAGACATCAAAGTAGCTGGTAGAAGTGAAAGCAAACTACAGGTAAAGAAATTAAAGACCAGAAGCAAACATAACGAAAGGCTTGGAAAAACCAGATTGCAGAAGTTTGAAATTAATAGCCAAAGAAACTTCATCATCTATTTAAAAATGTAACCTGTGCAGTAGTGGTTCTGAGACAGAATGCAGCGGGAAACATAGGTTATGCATAGCAGGGAGGCGTCAGATGGCCTAGGGTCAAACTGCGACCAAAACTCCAAAGTCACTCCATCTCTCATCTGAAAAAATGGAGAGAGATAAATGGCACTTAACTCCTAGAATTGCTCTGACAGCGGTACAAGTTAATGAACGTAGCATGGGGTGCAATGAGTAGTAAACTCAATAGATGTTAGCCAAAACAAGCAAACAAACCAAAAAAGTGAAACACTCAAGCCTTAGCCACTGTAGTTAAAACTGATAATTTGTCATGTCACTCAAGATATTTTTTCTTGTCTACACTTTTGCTTAAAGGAAGAAATCTGCTTTCTTGTTGTAAAGAGGTCACTCTGAAAGTAGTGGAGTAGGGTTTACCTTCTGTATTTTCCTAGGAAGTCAGAGCACAAAGAGCACACAGACCAGGAAGTGGAGTGTATCAGCTCCCTAGGATAGCTATAACAGTGCCACAGAAAGAATGGTGACAAAAACAGAAATCTATCATCTCACGTTCTTGAGACTAAGTCTCAACTCAGGATGGCCACAGGGCCAAGCTCCCCTCTGAGATTCTGGGTGGCACCCTCCATTGCTTCCACTCAGTTCGTTACCTTGACCCCACAAGTCCAGCCTCCCTGGCTTCCCTGGCCTCCCAAGGCCACTCCTTCAGGCATTTGAACACTCTGCCCCCTTTGCTGGGAGCATTGCTCCTCAGCATCACTCTGTTTACCTTCATTTCCTCCAAGTCTTTCCATAAATATCACTTTCTTAGAGACAGCCTCTCTAGACTGCCCTCCATGACAGAAATTCCAATAAACCTTCCATCTACCCTACTTTTGGATTCTCTGTATCATTAATACATTAAAAGTCCAAGTATTTATGAAGATTCTATTCAGTCCTGTAGAACAAAAATGTCACTGTAGGCTGTGTTTTTGTCAGTTTCTATACCAAGAACATAACATGCACAAATTAGGCTCTCGATAAGTGCCTGTTGAAATTTTTAAAAAAATGAAATTTAATAACCTTGCAAGGTACTGGGAAAAGTGTCTGGCATATTGACAACATTTGATACCTGTAAATTATTGTTTTACTATTATTACTAGTAAGTGCTCTTTGAGAAAAATTGATAATAATCATCATTGCACTTCTGGAAGATGTAATGTGTTTCAGAAAACGTACTGTTCTATATGTTACTTCATTTAATTACTTCAACAATTCTATGGGGCAGGTGTTGTTATTATTAATATCACTATTTTACATAAGGGAAACAGACATTCTGAAATAAAAATAACTTATTGAAGCCCAATTATATTATAAATATAATAAAGGTTATTTTATATTAAAAAATATCAGCTAAGTCATGGGCACCTGGGTGGCTCAGTCAGTTGAGCATCCGACTTCAGCTCAGGTCATGATCTTTTGGTTCACAAGTTCAAGACTCACGTTGGGCTTGCTGCTGTCAGCACAGAGTCCGCTTTGGATCTTCTGTCCCTCCCCCCTTCTCTGCCACTACCTTGCTCACATTCTCTCTCAAAAATAAATAAAACATTAAAAAACGTATATCAGTTAAGTCATTTATTAGACTTTGTAAATAATGAGCCAGATGAAAATAAATTCCATTTTAAAAGAAAATGAAGTGGAAAAACTGAAGTCTTCATGATATTTCTGCTTTTTGACGACCTAACGGTCCTAAATGTTCCCGATCAATCTCTCATGCTAGGGTCTCTATGCCCCCAACACTGAAAGCATTCTGACATATGCTTTATAATTTCCACCAATCACTGAGGATCGTCCAAAGAATAAATAGAAAAAAAAATAAAACCCCACAAAGAATAAATAGGATTAATGGCTAATACTGCCACTAATCTAAGCACAGCAATCTGATGGCTATATTCTCAAAGCTGTTCTGGTTTCTATGGCACCATTTGTAGCTGGGAAAGGAACTGTGTTACTCTTGACGAGTCTGTTCTCTTGTGTAAGAGTAAAGGAGGCCTCAGCTCATGTTAGAAGAGGCTACATTCTGAAATTCATTTATTCCCAAAGAAGCCCAATTGTTAAGGACATTCTGAAGGACTTATCTGTAAAATTAGAAGGAGAGCAGTCTATTCATTTAGTGCTCTTTGGAAAGGAAACAAGGCATCCCCTTCTGTCATTGGTAATTCTGCCAAAAGAATAGGACTCTGAGCAATGGAGGTCAGGCTAGTCCCAACCCATACCTGTGAGTAACATCAAAAACCAACCAACCAACCAAACAAACAAACAAAAACAATCCTTCTGAGAAACATTTGGAATCATGGTAAATGTTTCCTGCCTACATAGCATATCCTCTAAAACTTCTCAGGAGTTAAGTCCCAACTGTGGAAAAATTTGTATAAATTATATCTAGATTAGACACCCTGTATATGCATTCTATAGAACTGAACTCCCTGTTCACTATTTTTAACCCTCTGACTTCAACTGAAGGCATTGATTTTTAAATTTTCATTAGTAAAAGCAGTTGATTTCATATCTACAGTTGCCATTTAAGAGTTATATAAATTTCAAAAAGTCTTTGAGAAGGAATAGCAGTAATATATAGACTTATAAATAGTTATATAATACAACAATAAAATATAAAGCATTAATAAAATATATAGCTTATTGTGTAGTAGGTACTGTTCTAAGTTCTCTAGAAGCTGTAAGTAAACAGTGAATTGTTTGGGACTTCTTATGCAATTATTATTATATAAATTAGAATAACTACTTTTTAAAGTTTTAATTTAAATTACAGTTAGTTAACATATAATATTAATTTCAGATGTACAGTATGCTGATTTAACACTTCCATTCAACACCCAGTGCTCCTCAAAAGTGCACCCGTTAATCCCCATCACCACTTTAACCCATCGCTGACCCACTTCCCCTCTGGTAACCATCAGTTTGTTCTCCATAGCTAAGAGTCTGTTTTTTGGTTTGCCCTCTCTCTTTATTTCCCCTTTGCTCATTTGTTTTGTTGCTTAAACTCTATATATGACTGAAATCCTATTGTATTTGGTTTTCTCTGTCTGACTTACTTCGCTTAGTATAATACTCTCTTGCTCCATCCATGTTGTTACACACGGCAAGATTTCATTCTTTTCTATGGCTGAGTAATATTCCAT